ATTGCTGCTGACCCTGACTCCATGTGCCATCCAGCAGCAGGGGTGCAGGAATGGCTCTGGAGCCCCCCACCCACATCAGGCTTAACTGGGAACAGTGTTAGTGGTGAAGGGGAGGGGAGAAAACATGCAGCTGAGCCCAGAGGGCAAGGGATGGCATGGGGCAGGGGGAAGGAGATTCTTACACGCTTGAGGGATGTAAAAAAAAACAAAAAACCTTTGCTTGAGTGACTTAAAAAAAATTCCTCCTGCTGCTCCTGCAGGTTAGTTTTTCCTAAAACAGAGTTGGAGGGTGCTGGGAGCCGGGGTACAGGTCATTACTCCCATACCTCCCATCTCATGAAACAAACTCTGGAGAAATCTTGCAGCTGCTTTAGGGCAGGCTGGCTCATTCACAGTCCCCAAAGGGAAGGGATGGAGCATGGAAGGTAACTCCTGGCACGCATGCCAGAGCATGCCATGTGAAAGCATTTTGTTTGTCACATGTGCCTCGGGGTGGATGGCAGGGGAATACGAGGGGCCTGATCCTTATTGTGGCAGTGCAGCCCTGGCCCCTTCCCTGCCACCCACCTCGAGGTGTGCATGCACCCTTTGCCATCAATGAACCGGTCCAGGACTCCACAGATCTTGGTGCAGCTGCAAGCAGCTGAGACTCTGTGGTGGGTAGCAGGGGCCTGCCCAGAGCCCAGGATGTCTATGGCAGGCAGGTAGGAGACTGCAAGTGGCAGCACTGGGGTCCGCAGCGCCCCGGCTCAGCTCATTGCTGGCGGGGGGTGTACACATGCCTCGGGGTGCATGGCAGGGAAGGGGCTAGGGCTGGGGCTGTGATGCCACAACAAGGATTGGACCCCTTGTGGCTCCCCCACTGTCTGCCCCTGGTATACTAACATCTTACAAATTGAGGTTGCGGGTGTTTTTGGCACTCTGCCCAAAAATGTTGCCAACCCCTGGGATGGACCATGGTAGATTTTGTACAAACCCTAGCATGTTCCCCATGGTTGTAGATTGTCAGGGTGGTATAGCAACTCTGGGAAAGAAGACAATTCTTCTACACTATGGAGGGAATCTAGGGAGGGCCACTCTCTTGACTCTTTGCATAGTTGGAGATGCTCCTAGGGCCAGAATAGGACCTGGGATCCATTGTGTGACTTATCTGAATCCTTATACAACTTGTCTAGAGTGTATCTGGCTCTGTCAAACGTGGCATATTTCTCAAACTATACTAGGGCAAGGTTAAATACAGAGGAAGTAGAGTCTTGCTGTCTCTGGTATCTAAATGCCAATTCAAAACAAAGATGATACGGCACCCTCCTACTTTGGTGTGCAGCCAGAAGGTGCTACTTCAAAAGGTGTTAGAACTTCTCATATTCCTAATTAAACCATCACCTGGTTGAATCCAGTACACCAGGCACAAAGCTGCAGCCAGGTTGGTTACTTACCAAAGCAAAGCCAAGGTGTTTTAGCAAACCTGAAAATCACATAGTGTAAGCATGTTAACCAGCGCTATGAAATAGTGGTCTACCACAGTGTTATCAGCATGGCTACTTCTGAGTGGAAGTCAATTCAGATGCTAGTTTTAATGCAGCTAATGAAACAGGTGAGTGTTTCACTAGAAACAAATCGCTGAGTATGAGCAGATGTCAAAGCAAATGTTAGACAGGAAGTGTAGCATGTGTTGAAAAGGATCATCTGACTGGTTAAAAAGAAGGCCTGTTTGCTTTTGCTAATCGTGGTGCAGATTAGGAGTAATCCCAATGAAGTCAATGGGGTTATGGTAGGGGAATTAGATGGAATCCAGGCTCAAGGAATGTATCAGGGGCTTTTTATTGAAAATTGTGAAAGGTAATCAGTGTCTCCAAAGTTGACTGGGTTGTTTTCCTGTATCTCATGAAGTTACACAGGAAGCTGAGTATCAGGCATTTGAACTGTTAACTGAGAAATGTTGACCATGTTCTGAGTCAACTGTGACAGCTGAGTGTCCCTCCAGGAATCATCATTGCCCTGGGGCTTTCTTCAACAGTAAGAGTTATTAACTTGCAAAAAAACCCCTGGAGCCATTGTTATTGGCTTTTACTTGCTTCAGCCATATTGTCAGCTGAAAACATCAGTTTGCCATGGCATGACTTACAGGATTTTGTGAGATTTTCATGAAGAACTTAACCCAGTGGAAGCAAAAATTATTCAAATTATCATGTTAGCGATTATTTTTGAAGTACACTCTTTGAGTTTTGCAACACTAGCTGGGATTAACTCTCAGAACCCCCCCTTTTTCCAGGGTGCTGGAAGAAGGACACAGGCTTTGTACAACACAAAGGGCATATTGGCAAAAATAGGGCTTCTCTTGGAAGTAAGCTCCTGGAGACCTTTGTACGTTTCAAAGTGGATTAGTTCTTCTGTGGCACCGAAATAAGGCTGGGAAGTTTAGTCCCAGCATTGTCATCATGTGACTGACCCTTCAGTGCTTTGGTTTCCCTATCTATGAAATGAGGATAATACTGCCTACCTCACATGGGTTTGCGAGACCCCACATGTTAATTTTTCCATTGATCTTGCATCTCTTTTTCTGGGATCTCAGAGCAAAGTAGGAGCCATATCACCAACTTGGCATATTGAAAGTGTCTGGAGGAGGGGGCAAAAGTTTGCTTTCATCCAGTCCTATACACTCCCAACCAGAAAGGGGGCACCGCTCTGTCATCACTACCATCTCTTCTTTAATGTGAGTTTTAAAGTCCCTTCCTTCTTTTGTGCAGGGTATGGTAGCTGGAGGGAACTGGCTAAGGCTGTGGACCCAAACTTGCAGCTTTATTATCCTAAGAAGCTAGGACACCAGGTAAGAGAACTCGGGAGTCTTTTAGACATTTGAGAAAATGTTCTTCTGGACCTGCCTGGCAGGTCTTGGCTCCAGCCATCAGCACTTCCTACATGCACAGAACAAGGACCAAGCCACAGAACAAGTTCCAGTCTCAGTGACCCTGATATAGAAACAGAACAACTCCACTGTTATTGATGGTGTCACTCTGGATATATGTTGTCATAATGGAGGTCTTTACCTGGCCAAGAAGGACACAAGAAGGCATAACTAAGCAAGACTGGATGAAATAAAGGGAGCTTTCAGGCTAAAGGCCTGATGTGATATGTAGCACAATGAGGAATGATTTCACAGGGGAAGTGGTAGAATGTCCATTGCTTGGGACATTTAAAACAAGTCTGAACAAAACACTGGACACTAAACTAAAGGCAACACTTTACAGCTCCAAGCTGGTGAGGAGGCAGGGAGTTATTAAGATAACTCTGGGGCTCCAGGTAAGAAGGTTAAAGTGAGTAGAGACTAGATCAATGTAGGACATCTGGATAGTAGGCCTGTGCGAGTTGGTAGCGATCTGATCCGGCTTCGGATCTGGCCGCTTCGGATGGCTGAGATCCAATCCGGAGCTCCAGACCGGGTTTCTGCCTCAATCCGGTCAAGCGGCTCCGGAGCTTCGGAGCCGCCTCGGAGATCCGGCCATAGGGTATAATGGGGAATCAATTAAATATCTATAACATTGTTGTTTCTTGTCTGATTTGGATGAAATTTGCAGGTATGGTAGCCTCTGATGAGAGCATGAAACCGGCCAAGTTTCAAGGGGTTTGGGGGAAACTACCCCAAATGCTTGGAAACAAAGCTCCTGTCACGTCTTTGTGTTACAACACAGGGGGGTCAAAACTGCAGGGGTGATAGCGCTTACTGAGGCCACAAAGCCTGCCAAGTTTCAAGAAGATCGGTGCAGGGGTTTGGGGGGAACTGCCCCTCAAGCTGCGGACAAGCAAAACTTGTGCCATAGGTGACACTGCATGTGCTAAGGCACAGCGGGGTGACAGCCTTAGGGATGGTGGCCCCTGCTGTGACGCTTGCCAGCTGCCAAGGAGATCGGTGCAAGCGGGTTCTGGGGCTCTGCATCCCTAGCTGCTGACAGACAAAACTCCAAGACTGCCAAGACTGTCTCTGTCTCGGGGTAGTTGATTGTCTGTATTGATTCTTTCCTCTCCCTAGCCTGGTTTTGTAGGTGCTAATTGCTGCTCGTTAAGTCATTATGTAGTAGCTAGGTCCTGTGTATTGAGCTGGTCCCTGAGTCCCTGGTCCCTGAGTGAATCATGATTGATTGATTGATTGGTAACTGGGAACACAGCAGCTTTGCAGCCAGGCCTGCAGCAGTCTCCCCTCCCCGCTCCAAGACAGACAAGTCAGTCCCTCAAGCACCCATGGCACGAGTTCTGCTTGTCCCCAGCCTGAGAGGCAGTTCCCCCCAAACCCCTGCACCGATCTTCTTGAAACTTGGCAGGCTTTGTGGCCTCAGTAAGAGCTACCACCCCTGCAGTTTTGACCCCCCTGTGTTGTAACACGTAGACATGACAGGAGTTTGGCTTTCAAGAATTTGGGGTACAGTTGCCCCCAAAACCCTCCACCAATCTTCTTGAAACTTGGCAGGCTTCATCCTCTCTGCAGAGTCTAGCACTCCTGAAAATTTCATCCAAATCAGACAAAAAACAACAAAGTTATAGATATTTTATTGTTTCCCCATTATACCCTATGGCTGGATCTCCGACGCGGCTCCGAAGCTCTTTGGAAGCTCCGAACTGCTTCAGGAAGCCTAACGAGGCCATCGCTTCAACCTGGGTGTGCTGCTTCAGACCCCGAAGCATCCGAAGCTTCTCCGGATCCGAAGCTCTGTCCGAAGCCTCACACAGCCCTACTGGATAGTAATGGCACTGTCTCCAGTGCGAAAGGTGGTGAGCACCTAACACTCCACTATGCTTGTGACAACTTGTGAATTCTTTTAGAAGCTCCTGTGCACTTGCTAGCTGCTCATCAGCCCTGTGCAGGCCTCCTAATCCTTATGTACATGTGATTCATCACTTCTAATATTATTTTTACTTTCTTTTGCCTGTTTCAGAACCAAGAGCAGCAACAAGGTGGGAGGAATAGGTCAGATTCTCCTGCAGTGGACATCTCTTCTCCTTGGATGCCAGAGGTTGGTGTTCTCTGGAACAATTTCCAGTGAGAGAATTGTAACTAGAGGCCCCCAGAGTAAAGCTGGAATGGAAGGGAAGCTACCTGGGATCTCCACAGCTGCTCAAGGAGTCTTCTCTGTCAATCCCTTCCCTGTTGCTGAAAGCAAACAAAGGAAATAGAATTTCCAGATGGAAAGGAATTACCAGATTCTTAACAATTTGGCTCCTGACCTAGCTACAAAGGTACCAGGAATCCATACCCTTCCTCTTGCAAGCAGCCAGGCTGCTTTCCTTGGAAGGTGACCCTTACTCAGAGCTGGGAATGTGTAGGGCAAAGAATCCAGCAAGCAAATACATGACCGTGGCATGTAAGCGCCTCACACTATGCTAGTGCTCTGGCATCTGTCTGCAATCCAATCCCTGTGTTTTGTATGTAGGAGGTCTCCTTCACCTCAGTGACAATGCTAGGAAGCTGTGACCCTTGAGAACCTAGGTAAATCTTTCCTTTCCTTTCCTTGAGGCCTTATTTACTCTTTCTTGCCCTGCCTCCTTATCACACTACTCTTCAGATAATGTAGCAATGTGGCACTTAGACAATATGAAGATCACAAGCCCTAGGGTGTTTGGCTCATGAAAATAGCTTCCTGAGTTCCAAAAGGGGATTAGACACATGCACGAATTAGCATGGCATCTGCAGTCTCACTAGCTAGACAACAAACTCTAGTCTGAATGCTTCAGGACATAAACTGAGCACAGCTGAGAACAGAAAGGAATGACTCTTCCTCACCCCCACCCCCAGCAACAGTACTGAATGGTTTGGGGCATGATTAGAGAGTTAAATCTTTCCTTGAAGCATCTAATAATGGCCACTATCTGATACTGAAAGTCAGGTTGGCTGGACCATCAATCTGTTCTGCTGTAGCAAGTCCTATGGCCCCTGATCACAGCTTGAGTCTGTTGTTGTCCTCCAGCTGCATGGCATTGTCCCAGTGGCAGGCTGTGTGCTCAGCACTGCCTCTTTGATGAGCCACTGCTGGCTGAGGGCCATGAGGATGTGGCAGTCAGGATTGTTGCTATGTGCAGGAGTTGCATGGTTTAGTTAGCTGCTCTCCTCTCCCATGGTAATGGGCATTTTGTATTCTACTTGGTATCTCCCTGGCCTGCATGGGGCTCTGCCCATCAACTCCAGTCCCCAGAGGCCACAAAGCAATGCTAAGTGCGCTTGTCATGAAAGTTGTCAGGTACTGGTTATGTTGCAAACTTGATCTGTCTGAGATTCCTTGCTCAGCACATTGTCTGGAATAGAAGTGTGGCTGTAGGATGTGTTTTGCCCCCTAGAGAGATGGTGCGCAAAGAGTAGAGCCATGATACCAGCCTGTGCTGTGGCAAATGCAAGATGGTCTCATTCCCCAGTGTAGTGATGGGTCACGCAAAGCACAGAGCAAATGTACAAGCCCGTCTCCTGCTGTGCTGCTTCCAGGTGGGAAACAAAAAGACAGATTGCACCATCCAAAGCAAAAGAAGAGGGCCACAGCCTGGTTTGTGCAGCTGTCCACCAGTCATTGGGGAAGGCCTTAAACCAGGATCTTCTGTGTCACCCTCCACCTTGTGCTGCTCTTGGTACTGATAGAATGCTCTACTATGCAGCAGAGCTGAAATGAAAAGCAAAAATGGCGTAGACCAGTGTTTCTCAACCCCTGGGTTGCAACCCAAAAGTGGGTTGCAAGAATATATGCAAGGGTCACGAACAAATTTAAAAAAATGGATTCTCCTTTAAAGGAGAAACATGTGGGCAACCGCAGTGTTCCAGCCTGTGAGGGGCTACTTGGGGCCCCCATGCCCCAAACACCCCTCTCTTACCCCACACACTGGGGGGCTAGGGCCTGGGGGCGGTGGGGTGGGAGTGAGGGGCCCTGGGATGGGACTGGCCATCGATGTTTACAAATGGGTCCTGGTACAAAAAAGTTGAGAACCACTGGCATAAACAGGGGTTTGTTACTGATATTACTATAGCCTTTAAAAACCCCAGTCCTGAATCAGGCCACTTCCCCATGCCAAGTGTTGTATAGAACCACGTCAAAGCAGATCTCTCCCCAAAAGCTCACAGTCTAGGTGTCTGAGAAACACCTGATGGCCACTGGTGGGGGGTTCATTTCAACTGAACTGAGCCTACAGGCAAGAATTGACCACCTGCCCACAGTCACAAGTTCCCCTCTGTGGTTAGTGGAGACCTAGGAGCTGTGCTTCTCACTGTTCTCCTACTTACTTTAGACCAGTGGTTCTCCAGCTTTGCAGACTTGAGGCAGCTCTCCTCAGACTAGAGGCACCCCTCAGAAAACATCAGCTCCTAATTTTCACTCATTTTTTGACTACAGAAAAATAATAAAGCATTGCTTGTGTTGCAAGGGACTCAGAAAAACCACAACAGTTCTTTCTAAATGCTTTGAATAGTTCAGATTCCTGTTTGGTTTATCTTGTGAATCATGTTTGCACACCTCCTAGTGCTAACACTGTTCAGCACCCTGTGGCACTCTTGAAAGCATCTCAAGGGACCCCAGGGTCCCATTACACCCTGGCTGGGTGCATCTACACGAGATGTTTACTGCAGAGTTATCTAATTAGCTCTGCAGTAAAGTCTCAGAATCTACATGTGTGGCCCTATTAGGACTCAGGAAACTAATTAATTCTGCCATAGGTTAGTACTTGTAAACACAAGTACTATCCTGCAGTGGCATTCTTTAGTGCGCAGCAACATACGGGTAGACACTGACAAAGCTGGTTGCGGCACAAGAGTGCTTCAGTGTGGGGGCTGCCTGGTGGCAAGCCTCACACCAGAGTCCCTCATGTCCCAGTAGGGCAGCCATCATAGAGGGCATTCCGGTTTTCTGCTACTCTGTCCCCTGTCCTCTATTGATACAAAACTGGATGCCTTTATGTCCTCTCATTGAAGAGAAAAATAAAGGACATAAAGGCATCCAGTTTCATATCAATAGAGGACAGAGGACAACTGGAGTATCCTCTGTGATGGCCAACCTATGCCCCAGCCAGCCGCTCCACAGCACATTGAGCTGAATTGGAGCAGCCCTACGCTGTCATGCTGACCCCCGGGGCTCCCTGCCAGCCGGGGCTGCTCCAACCCAGCTCAGTGTGCTGTGATCCCAGGTGCACATGTAAATGCTGTGTCCAGAAGCAATAAACTCTGGTGCAACAGTGAATTGCAAATCACTGTATTAGGCCCTGTATGTCTAGTTTGAGGGAGGTGGCTATCAAACAGATCTGCTTTTCCTCCTTCCAGGGGAATCTGCTGCTCCCCAACAGTTCCTTCTTCATATCTATACAGAAAACATTTCCCACTCTGGTGCTGGTTGTGGTGCAGTCTCTGAACGCAGAGGATCAGCAGAGCCAGCTCCCAGGGTTGTAGGTATAACTGTACAGCCCTAAAAGCAGTCAAGTACTCCAGTATTAGGCTGTTCACACTGTGGTGGCATAACACAGCTACTGAGGAGTCAAGCAGAGCTATATTTAGCTCAGGTCTCTGCTTCAGGCTGGAAAGCAGCTTGCTCTCCTGTTAATCACCTGTTGAAAGTTGTAGAGGCAGGTGGATTAAGTGAAGAGCGAAACTTCCGTAACTCAGCACAAATTAATTACACAGGATCTATGATCCCATTGTGCCCCATCTACTCTTCCTATGACCTCCCTAAGAACATAATTGCAGGCCGGTTCCTGCGGTGAACAGGGCAGTTCCTCTCTCACAGGTCATGAAGCTGGCTTCATTTGAACAGAAGGTGGCTGTGCCTGACAAACATGAATAATTAAGAGAGTTTCAGGGTGAATGTACAGCAGCACTGTGCAGAGGGAAGGGGAAGAGAGAGAGAGGTCCCACCTGCAGTTTGAGGACATGAAATGTATGTTGGTTGGCTGAGGGATTTTTGGTTTTGGAAATGCATTAAGAGGGAGACTGCACTAAGGAAACAGGTGCCAGCTTCATCTGTGGGATAAGTTTGTATTTAATGTACACACTTCTCTTGTGTGGGAGAGGGGAATTCAATCTTGTCCATTTACTGCTGGCCTCTCTGCACCTGTAAAATGCTTCTACATTCCCAAACCTCTCTGCAACAGTATAGTCAGTCACCACATACTCTTTCCTACAGTAAACTGAGACTGAACAGGGAGCTGTCACTACATGAGCCAAGGAGGAGAGGGAGTGCCTCTCAGTTGAGGTACACACCCAAGCCAGGGAGAATGGAAGAGGTTCCCTCCAGAGGTTAGCAGAGGTGTAGGAGCTGGACTGCCACTGCTTCCTCCTTACTCCCTCTCCTGCACCTCACCTCCTCCTACTCTGTCCCACCTGAGGGAGATGACAGAGGTCTGTCAAAACAGAAGGAGAGCACCTTCTCCCCTGCTGCCGCCTCCTCCCCCTCCTCCTCCTCCTCATCATTGATATTCATAATAAGATGCTAGGGCTACCTCTTTGAAGGTTGCTAGAAAGGAGTAATGGAAAATGTCAGCAGTGGTCCCAGACCCTGGCAGGGTCTCACAAGGCCCATCTCTCTGGAGCCCCAGCCAGCATCTGCAGGCAGCTGTTAGAAGAAAAGACTTCAGGAGTCAAACTCTCAGTGAAATGCAGAAACACAAATTTGCTCAGTTTTACACAACCTGCCCCCGCACATGAGGGCCACTGCTACACTGGCACGTGACCAAGATCACTCATGGGTGGGGAGATACAGGTTCAGCCTGTACACCAGGGAGCAGAAGATTGTGCTTGTAATCAGAGGGAGGCATTTTGAAGAGTGGTAGATGTGGTTCAGTCTCCACCAGTCAAGGACAGGCACCTTGAAATCTTCAAAGCAGCATCAAGTCTGTTTCTCCTTGCTGATGCTGAGCTCATACACAGCCTGTCAGCGAGTAATGCAGCCTTCTATCTCTGGCTACTGTGGAAAGTTGCGTCTCATCTGACCGGGTTTTAATGCTTCATGCTTTTGTCCCCTCCCATCTAAGTGATAACAGTGCAGTGTAGCTGGTCTTACAAGCAACCAGCCTTGAGATTAGCTCAGAAAATGACAGCTTGCCTCCTTGCTGCACAGGTTGCTGCCTGAACCTCATCCCAGCATAGTAGTCACCCATGCACAGCAAGTATAAAGCCATTTGTTTTCAAGAGCCTTAGCTTTTTGGGTGCAGCACAGCAGTGCTTGTCTCTGCGAGATTGACTGCCCTTAGCAACTGTACTTGTCATACACAATGGAATTTTTCTGGGGACTTCCCCAAGAGTATACAACAGGAATTAAAAATGTCTGTAAACGTTGCCATCCCCTGCTCTGTCCATACCATATACTTCTGCAGTGTGGTCTTCCCAAACAACACCACAAGTCACAGCAGCTACCAAAGACAGCTCAAGTGTTTTAAAAACCCACCACATGCCTTAAACCTCTTCCCCAGGACTTGACCATTGAGGACCCCATCTGAAAGATGCTAGTCACTTTGTTTCATTAACTCTTGAGAGTGTCTGAATACTAGCAGCAAAAAACTTGGTACAAGAACTTGAGTACTAGTTTGCTGACTTGCCGTGCTCTGCCCTGGGTGGAGTCTTGCTTAGAAATTATAGATGGGATTTTCAGAAGTACTCAATATTGACCTCGCTGTTCCCACTGGCTTTAAAAGAAGTTTTACTCTAGATGTCAGTAGAGGCAGAATTTGGCCTCTTTTTTTTTTCAGATCTCACCCTCCAAGCTCACTCAGTTTTCTGCATCTTCCTCAGAGGCGGCTTACCACTGGGAGAGAGGCAGAGAGAGGTCACAGAGAGAAAGGTCCTACCTTTAGTTTGAGGACATGAAATATATGTTGGTTGGCTTTGGTGAAAACAGAAATTAGCAATCATGATCACTTGGGTCCTAATGCAGCAATGCATCCCACTTTGGGAAGCACTTACACGTGCGTTTAAAATTAAGGACATGCTGTCCCCAGATCATGGTTTATTCCTGGATGCATGTCCATGATGCTCAATACATATATCCCTGGCCTATAAGCTAATGTCTTTTCCCAGTCTGGCAAAGGTCAAGCCAGCACCCCCATGCAGGGGGTCCCTTCCTCCTCTTCTGTTTACCGTCAGGTGTCAGCTTGCTCAGGGGACATAATGGGTCTTTGTGCCTAACTTGTCTTGATGGATTCCCACAAGTGCCCAGCTCCAGAAGCACTGCAGTGATGTCCAGCTGCTAGCTCTTGAATGTTGCCCAGTCAGGGGAGCTGGCGGAGGCAAGAGGAGGGGCCACGGCTGCTGTGAGGAGACAGAAGAGTCTTATAAACTCAGCTCAGGGAATTTCCAATCACCAGCACAATGTCTCCATTCTTCCCAGGCTCAGACCTTCTTTATGTCCCAGTTTATCTTCCCCAGTGCTATGCATTTTTCAGATTGCATGCAGCTGATTTGCCCATGAGATGCCAAGCAGTCAGAGATTAAATTAGGAGAGGCTTCCCCTCCCCTCCTGCTCCAGTTACAGTCCACAGGGTCACATCTCTAGGGCTGTGACCCTCCCCTCCCATCCTCCCTCCCGCCTGCCCCCTCCCCTCTATCACTTCAGTGCTCCTTCTTGTGTCAACTCTGGTGCTTGACTGAATCCCTCCTCTTAGCCTTTCCTCCCCAGGCTACTTGCCTGAAGTGTTTATTTTGTGGTGTGTCCCAGTTGTAATGCTATTGGGGACACAGGACTACAGGCAAAAAGGAGTTTGTGCTTTGTGGATTAGAGCCTGCCTGTCTGAGGTTGTTTTGCCCAGGCAGGCTGGATGCTGGGGCCTGATAACCTAGAATTCCTTGCTAGCGTAAGTGGAATACCTGTGACTCTTAACACAGAAACAGGGGTTCATGCTTACCAGTGCTAATTCAGCACATGACACTGTGGGAGTCTGCAGCCTCCTATCCCTACCCCTGCAGATACAAATGCTGCTGAATCAGCACAGACAGAGAGTCCAGTCCTAACTCATGCTTTCCCCATCCCACTTACCAATGTTAAGCTTTACCTTAATGACTTCTGGCTGTCTGCATTGCTGCAGCTCCTCCTTCTCTGCTCAGAGCCTTTTGCATCGGGGCTTCTGCAACCAGTCTAAGATGATAGTCTGCTATAAACTGTCCATATAGCACCTTTCCCTTTTGGAACTGGCACAAGTTCTGCTTTGAGCACTAGTGCAGACAGCTGCTGGACCTTCTTGTGTGCCCCATGGAAATAGTCTGAAAATAGGAGAAGGAACATGGAAGGGAGACATGCAGGTGGCAAAAGGAGTGCTCTGAACTAGAAATCCCAGAAGGTCCCCAGCATGGCCCAGAAAAAAGGCTGCTCAGGGAGTGTGCAAGCAGCAGAGTGCCTCTTCTGGTGTGTGGGGAGGGCGGGGTAGGGACTAGGGGATAATCCCACAGCCTGGGACACGGGCAGTATGGGAAGATTCAAAAGATGACAACAGGCCAGCAGTAGAGTAGACAAGAGAGCCCGGTGCAATGGAGTTGGCATGGAACTGGAAGTTGAGACTCCCAAATTCTCTCTGGGTGCTGTCACTGACTCACCATGTCACATCTAGGAGGTAAATTTGTCCAAACTTTTCAGAGTGACTGCTGCTTTTTGATGCTTCTATTTGGGAGGGCGAGGGCACTCAGGCTCCTGTGCATAAGCCTTGATTCTCTGATGAGCTCAGCTCAGAAAACCAGGTCCATGTTGTCTCGGGCTGGATCACCTGTATCAAAAGCCATCTTTGAACATATCTTGTCAACCTCTGGTTACCTCACAGGCCCAGGTGTAACATGGAAATGACAGTGTCACTCACTCACTATCACGATCTGCAGTGAAAAGTCCCTTGTAGTAGTTTTTATTATCCTGTGGCAAAGAAGATCCAAATAGCAGCCAAAATAGTTTCTCAGCCGCTTCCTGTGGAGAGCTGTGACGTGAGATGGAGGAGCAGAGGGAAAACCAGGGTGATAGGGTTTCCAAGCAGCTGCTGTGTTGATGACTCCCAGGGACCTAAAATTAAAGCCCAGCTCAGTTTTCAATCAGGGAGCAGTGGCTGCTGCAGCCAGCACGTGTCTGTTGATAACATTCTTCTCTTTCCTTCCAGAGGGACCTGTTCTCTGCATTTCTGTTTTTCAGAGGCAAACACAGACTGCTCCAGCTCAGGCAGGACTCTGCTGAGTCTGTGCGCTATTGTGCTTATGATTTATCCTTTATTTTTTCTCAGAGCTGGGAGCTTAGTGAGGGGGAGGCCTCGTACATTAGCTCTTACCACAGGCTCCTTTCAGGTTCTCTCGTAAAGCCTTTTGGCAGAGTCAGGTTTTCATTGACATTTGTACCCTTTACACTGTTTAGATGGTAAGGAGTTCCTAGTGTAACTGATCCATAGGATTTTCTGTACTAGACCATGCCACTGGGCTCAGTCCAACATGGGACATTTCACATCAAAATACAACTCTATCTCATCGGAGATGCTGATGAATTTGTTCACTGTAATTTTACAACTCTGCTCCCTGCCCCACTCCACCTCTGGCTGTTTAAAAATAACCAAACCTGTAAAACTCTTTAAAGGTAGAAACTATCTCTTGCAGCGTCTGTACAGCTCCCTGCACACTGGTGCTCCTGGGTTGGGGCATGAGAGCACTGCTAGCAACACTACTGCCCCAGTTTATCAGACTATGGATTCAGCTGTGGTGTCTGTCTTTGGGTGTGCCTCACACCCAGTACTTCCAAGGAGGACCTTGCAACAATTGTGAACCTGTTCCCAACCAATGACATTTTGGAATGGTTCAGTTGTTATGTGTCTGTACCTTTTAAATGACAATCAGGCCATGAATGATGCTCCCAGTTAGTTGCTTAGTAGTGGAAGAGGAGAATTCCAGTAGTAGTCAGCAAGTGCTGTGGAGCATGAAACCAGCATACCCTTTATGTAATGTCTGTGATGTGACAAGGGGTGGATAACCAGGGAACCAGCCCCACTTCTCATCCCGCACCCCACCACCGCCCTTATCTGGAGTGCAAGGAAATCAGCTGCTGCCAGCCCAGCCTCTGTTCTGCTGCTGTTCAGGGTGCAAAGCCTGGTAGTTATGCCTCTACCTAATCTGTTTAGTAGTCAAAATACAGTAATTGGGAATTCAGCCTCTTAGTGCCGTATGCTTCTTGCCAACTTCCTTCAAATGTGAGTTACACCAAGGCTGGTGTGGTTTAAGTCTTATCTAGTCAAGTCTTATCTCTGTTACCTGATTGCAGACTTAGTCCTGACTCCCTTGAGGTCTTGGGCCTAGAGAACAGCCTGTCAATCTGCCTTGTCATTAACTATAATGTGGCTGTAGAACCACAGAGGAACAGTCAAGGCTGCCTCTAGCTGTTCTTCTTGAAGAAGCATTTCATACAGTAATGTACTTGCTCTTTGCAGGACATAGATGTGCACATGAGAGTGAAAAGCAGCATTGGTTAGTGGTTAACAGGAAAATGATTCATCAGGTGACCTGAGTTCTAGGCTGGACTCCACCACTGACTTGCTTCAGGAACATGGTTAAGTCAGTTTGCCACTGTAGCACATCTGTGACATGGAAATGATAACACTCACCTCCTTTAGGAAAGTAATTCAAAAATCCTGGGGTGTGAATCTGTATCCAAGTGCAGAGTGGTACCATTGTCCAGTCACTTCATACAAAGACATTTCATAGTGGTTATCTGACAGTGAATGACTTCTGTCCCTGTTCTCTGCTTTCTACAATGTTCCTGATGATGAGCCCATCCCAAGTTCAAGCAAACTCACTGTCATGGATGGGCTGTGCTGCTCTTCTCTATTGCTGTGCAGAATCACCTTTCTTCCATATACTTTTCCCTCTGTCTCTGATCAGCAGAACTTTGGTTAAGGGAAATCAGTAGAGGAAAAAAGCAGGGAGCAATGTGCCGCAGAGTACACACCAAACCCAAACACAGCAAGTGGAATACCCATGGCAAAAGCACTCCTCGCAGCAGGAGACAGCCAAGTGCTGATAAGTACCAAGTCAGGAACAGAAGAAGATGTACACATGCACAAGACAGAATGTGTTAAGAAATGGCCAGAACACACAGCTCACACAGTTGTGACTGAGCTGATGTGCAGACCAAAGTTCATTATCAACCTTTCCCTCAGGGCACAGTTTTTATTAGTGAGACAAAAACTGGGGCACAGTATAAAAAAAATATCAAGTAATTCCTCTCCACAATGTACATGACAGGCCCAGAGGTTTTCCTCTTCTTCTTAGGATCACAGGAAAGTAGGGCTGGAAGGGTCATCATGAGGTCAGCCAGTTCAGCCCCCTGCTCTAAATCATCCCAGTCCCCGATCTAAAGGATGGATCCCAAGCAAGGTCAGCAAGAGCTCAACTGAACAGGAAGGTTTCCTTAAGTGACTGTGTCACAACCAGGGCCCTCCTTACTGACCTTTTTTAAGACCCAACCAGGCTTCATGCTATCACATGATACCTAGTTCATTAGTTCCAGGTAGGCTTCCTTTCCCACTCCTTGAAGGCTCCTGCAGATCCTTGCCCACTCCCAAGGCAAGCTCAACTTCCTGCACCCTTATCCAGAGCAATGCTTTTCTCCTTTCAAGCAACCACCCAAGTCCCCAACCTCACATACCTCTCTGCCAGGAGGAGTTAAGTGCCCAGCTGTTTTAGCTCCTTTCAACTCCTGTTCCCTTTTGTGACTTATGACCTTGTCCCTTGAGGAGCACCTTTCTTCTACATCCTGCAAGCAACCTGCCACCCCACTCTCTGTAGCAGGGGTGAGCAAAATGTGGCCCACGGGCCAGATGCAGCCTGCCAGGCCATTCTATCCAGCCCGCGGGGCCCCTATAAAATTAGAAAATTAATAGTTATCTGCCACTGGCTGCCTGTCAAGCGGCCCTTGATGGCTTGCCAAAACTCAGTAAGCGGCTCTCCCCCTGAAATAATTGCCCACCCCTGCTCTGTAGGCTGCTCAGTTATGCAGAGACTTCAGCCCAATTCCTGTCGGTCACAGAAACATTTTCCGCTTGGTCTGCTGAGTCGCTACACGAGCCACTGTGGCCCCCTCTACATATTACAGGCATTGCACAATTAACTAGGAAATTGCACAATTATTTCAAGACCAGCTACACATGCAAAGTAGCTATCACATGATAAAAAGCTCCAACCATCTATAAAGCGAGGCCTCAAAAATGTGTACTGACCCTATAGCTGGTTGCTGTTGAGCTTTAATTTGCACATGTAGCAGGGTCTCCCCTGTGCCCCGGAGCCCCCTCCCCTGACAGAGCTCCCAGCCACAAGGGTGCACCTTGCCTAGCATAAAAATCCCAAGCCCTGGGAATTGAAACCCCCAGCCCACATGGGCTCTCAGTTCAGCCTCTCACCCACAGCGGGGACCAAGAGACCCCACAACTGACTGGGCTGTCAGCCCCAGCTGCGACTCACATGTAACAGGAAGCTAGAGCTGCAGCAAATGATGGGGCTCCCAGTCAGGGCTGCACCTCACATTTAGCCGGGACCGAGAGCCCCATCAGTTGCTGGGCTCTTGGTCCTGGCTACATGCAAGGAGCAGCCTGGACCAGGACCCCTGTCAACTGTGGGGTCTCTCAGCCCCTGCTGTGGAGCCCCCTCAGCAAAGGGAACTCTCAGCCATGAGAGTCTGTTTCTTGCCAGTGCAGGAGGAGCCCAGGATTGGGCTCCCCCTGCACCAGCAATATGGCATAATTGGATCTAATATGTGATCTCACAATCACAATTGTGTAGATCCCACAATATCACACCTTTACCTGAACATGTAAAGGGGGGCTGCTGCCCATACCCTCTTGACACCCTCCTCCACATCCCTGCTCCATAACAGAACCCGTCCCTCCTCCCACTTCACTTCTGGCACAGGGAGCTGATGATTTCATTTCTCTCTCTCCCTTCTCTTTCTCTGATTGTCAGTCCTCAGAGCTAGTTCTCTTAGATAACAGGGATTTTGCACACACCCTGTGTATCCCAGGGCCATTACTCAGTCCCACACTATGATTGTGTCCAAAGGGAATGCTCTTGCTGCATGTCTCACATGAGCCCCTGGGATGAGGCCCGCTGTCATGGCTGGATGATACACTTTGCATGCAGTGTTGAGGGCAAGCTCTTGGTAGGGGATTTCAGCATACCCAGTTGGCTGAAAGAGCACTGTGTGTAAACTGGTCTACTGCTGGGTCCCTACAATGCTATAATGGGTCTTATACCAGGCAAGGAGATTAAGACACGGTAGTCCTCAATTAAAAGCAAGTTTATTAAACCCTAACAGATACAATTCTAATTAAAACTGAAGCAGCATTAGCAGTAAAAAATTTTAGGTTTGTAGCTCGTCAAAGCAGATGCTCACCACCCCATGATGTCACGAACGCAGCTTCACTGGTTGGTCAGTCCATGAAGTCTTGTCCAGAGCTCCTGGTTTCCAAGTCTGATATTGAGACAGGATCTTGAACAGGATCTCTTCAGACTTTCTTCAGAAGTGTTCCCAAGGGTACACTCTCTCTCCTCTCTTTATATACCATATAGCTTGCATTTCTTAATACATAAAATTAACTTAAGCCTTCCTCCTAATGCATATTAATAATGCTTCTGTTTGCCAAGTATGGTTACCTTTAACTGGAATTTTCTATTCTGAGGTAACCTTTTCATTCCTAGGTGGGGTTAGGTTTTGCTCTGACTGTTCCTCTTTTGCCCAGGTTATATTTATTCAACTTAGTTAGCCAATTTCCTGATTTGTTTTAAGTCAGGGACAGTATTTTTCTGTCTGCTCCTTTCACTGGGTGCATGTCTCAACCACAGTTCAAGCTAAGCATTAGAGCTGTGCGAAGCTTCGGTCCCTGATTCGATTTGGTAGAGATTTGGCCCGATTCGGTGGCTGAATCTCTGAAGCTAAATCGAATCAGAGGACCCTTTAATCTCTCTGAATCGAATCGGAACCCTCCAAATTGATTCGGAGAGATTTGGAAAGATTCAGAGATTCAGACATAGACACAGCTTTAAATGTTTTGTCTATGTACCTCAAGGTAGCAGGTGGCTTGCGAGTGCTGCAATGCTGGGGTGCATGGAGCATCCCACAGAAGCGCAGGAAGTTCCCCAGTGCACTCTGCAGCAAACCTGGAAGTGGACCAGAAGCACTTCTGGTCCACTTCCAGGTACACTGGGGAGCATGCTGGGGAGCCCCCGTGTACTCCCCCCGGCTTTGCAACCGGTGCCTCCTGGGTCTGGGGTGCACCCAGGGTCCCCCTGCGGCCAATCACCGAGCTGGAGAGGCGTGGGGGGGCCCCCAGTGCGCTCTCTGGTGGACCCAGAAGTGGACCAGAAGTACTTCCAGTCCACTTCTGGGTTCACCGCCAAGCACATGGAGGGTCCCACTCACTCCTGTGGGCCGCTCCATCTGCCTCAGCGTTGCAGCGTTCATAAGCCACACTGGTACCCTAAGGTATGTAGAAAAAACATTTAAAGCTGTGCCTATGTCCGAATCAGCATTGAATCCTCAGATTCGGATTCAGCCGAATTGAATCAGGGACAGTGATTCGAATCAACAAATCAAATCACTGTCCCTGATTCGGGCTGAATCTGAATCGAATAGGGCCCACTTTGCACACCCCTACTAAGCATGCAGCTTGAGCTAAACACAAGTCAAACCCAGGCCCGAAAGCCTCTAGATCCCAACAAGTCACCCCTCTGATAACTCCTCCATGGAGGGATTATCACACCAATGTACTTCGTCTTCATGGAGTGTACACCTGTTCGTTCCTCCAATATAAGCACTTGTAGTGGGGGTCTTGTAGAGGTTAACAAAAACTCTGTGTAACTGATAAACTTGGCAACATGTACAGCCAGTTAAAACAACAGCAAAGATGATAGCAATTTGGATGCCAATTATCACCACAGTGGGGTGAAGCATTAAGTTTAAAACGCCTTGGGTAGTATGACTCCATCCTAGCAAAACTTCCTACCAAGAATGTCTCACTGCTCTTTGGACTTTTTCCAATACCTGAAAACCTTTTTATTATTATGTTTAATCTATACCCTGGTTTCACAATTGTGCTGTTTAATAGAATTTACCATAGCATGCACATCTGGAATAGACAAAACTTGTTTTAACATTGGCAAATTTAAACGTAACTGAATTGGAGTAATGTTTTCATAAACCCATGATTTAGCCCAGACACTGTGTGTCATCCAGTGAGGCACAAAGTATTTAAAATTATAGATTTTGGTAGATGAAGCATTACAAAAACATTGGTTAATGGAAAATGCCATTAAATACAACTATATTTGATCAAGCATTACATAGGGACAGTGTGTTCGTACACAAATGCACCCTTTTTCAGCATAAATTACTGCAGAATGATGTTCACTAATCATGTGAAAAACACATTGTTGCACGTCATGTTGCTCATATAGATTATGATCGTCACACACAAATCCCACATGGTAGGAAGCTCCCCAGCCCCTGGAAAGAGATGCCTCACAGAGCTCATGTCAGGCTCTTGCTTCAGGGCAAAGCTTACTGATTAAACCTCAGCTTGAGCAAGACGCCTACATAAAGTAGTTCTTCTGCCCAACATGGTCCACCAAGTGCTCTGGACCCTGCAGCTCAGCCACTTATATGGGCTGTCACTGACTTTTATATGGACCAAGCTATCACCTGATCCCTAGCAGGGCTGAGACTGTCTTTCTTTGACTGGCTCCTCAAAAACTGAACGTGTCACTTTCTCTCAGTTATGTGCAGATCACCCACATGCAAGGTACTGACACAGGTAAACAGAGGGCAGGTCGGGACTGAGCCATTCATAGGGTTACCTCTTTGTGCTTCTATCTTCCTCCAGTTCCAGGGCCAGGCCAATCTCCATGTGTTTGAGGATTGGTGTGGCAGCTCCATTGAGCAGCTCAGAAGGAACCTCCACTTCCCACTCTACCCCCATGTGAGTACCTGTAGAGAACCCATCCCCTCTGCAAATGCTGCACACCTTTACTCCAGACCTTCTGCTCCTCTTTGCTTTACTGTGCCCTCCCTCTTCCTTGTCCTCCCATTCCCACATCTCCCTCCTCCTGTGGGGAACTGTGCCTCGAAGGAGATCTTGCAAGGGCCAATGGAATCCATTGCCATGCAACATGAGGCTCATGACGTGTGTCTTAGAACTCTGACACTGAATGAAGCAGACTTCTGTCCAAGTGGTTAGTGGACAATAAGTCCCATTCTCATGTTCATGACCTTTTTCCAGGGCCCTTCATTCACCTTTCTCCTCCCTTACCTGTACTGCACCTTGTACTGCCCTATTCTTGTACTGTATCCTATTGTTCCTCCTAGTCCTACCTCCGCTAGTCCCTCATCTCCTCTCTTCCATTCCTTTTGTCCATCTCCTCCTACATCAGTCCCGGCCCTCCTCTCTCTTGCCATTCCCTTCCTGTTTCCATCCTACTTTGTCACTTTTTTCTTCCACCCTTAGACACGAACCACCCTGAAGAAGCTGGCAGTGTCACCCAAATGGACCAACTATGGGCTCCGCATATTTGGCTATCTGCACCCTTTCACTGACGGTGAGGAGGCACTGAAGCCAGTTGGGGTTCTTGTGCTGCATCCTCTCTCCCTTGTCTTCTCCTTCCCTGCCTGAGGCTAGACAGAAATGCGCTCATCTGGGAAAGCCCCACACAATCTCTCTCCAGCCAGGTGCAGGGGATTCTGTCCAACACTGAAAAAGCAGGGAGTCTCAGTAGCATAGATCAAATGCACCTGGTTGTCACTGGAAGGGGAAATACAGATTTGTCATTATAAGGAAAACTGCTATCCTGCATACACAGCACCTGTGTAAGTACCCACAGACACGCTCCCCATGAGCATGTGAATGCTGGTACAAACACACAAATTAGCAACATGTGCACGTGTACATTAACACACTTGTGCATTGACATGCACATGACTCCATTCATACACATCCATCCTCACAAGTGCATGCACCCCGTGGCCCTATCTGTATCCACTTACCCTGCCCTAAATGTCCATTCACAGGCTTCTAGACATGCACAGCTTCCTTGCTGGTACCTCTCCCATCCATTGGACCTTGAGCCCCATGCATTCATTCTGAACAGAACCCCAAGCACCCACACATGGCTGCAGCTGCACATCTGGACTTTCTATTGTACCCATCACATTCCCAGATGTGATGCCCAGGGTATGTCTATAAAGCCCCAGGCAGTATTGTATTACCTTTGTCTGAGCTAATCAGCTCTAAGAAGAGCAAGGCTGCACTACTTCTGGTTTGGAGCTCTCTCTTCCTAGCACTGCCTTGTGCAATATAGCCATGTCCAGAGTCTCTATCTTTTTAACGCACGCGTGCACACACACACACACACACACACACACACACACACACACACACACACACACACACAGAGTCTCTCACTCTCTGTCTCTCTCTCTCTCATGCACACACACATACACTCTCTTTCTCTCTCGCTCGCTTTCTCTCTCTCTCTTTTCCAAAAGAGTCACTGAAAGAAATCTGCATGGACTCCTCCCCTTCCATGTTAGATTTCAACCAAGGTCAGCGCAAGACGGGTGACTAACCAACTTCTCTGAGGGCAAGAAAACAGTCAGCGTTTTATTTACAACTGAAAGGTGAGGGTTAAAAGCACTGGCAGTGTTTGGTAGCTCAGGGAGAGTCCCAGACAGCAATGGAGGGAGTAGATGGGTCAAGGGTAAATGCTGTGTCAGTCCCAGTGGGAGGCAGGGATCAGGACAGGAGTGGAAGCATTTTTTCTTTCTAGCAACGCAGAGCACCATTTTTCTCTGGAAATTTCTTGGCAGGGGACTTTCAATTTGCCATTGCTGCTGATGACAATGCTGAGTTCTGGTTGAGTTCAGATGAAAGGATTTCTGGCCTCCGGCTTCTGGCTAGCATAGGCAAGGTACAGTGTACACTGCATGGCTTCTTCAGTCACTGTTTTTAATGTTCCTATGGGGATGAAAATCCTTATTATACCTTATACTCTGCTTCAGGAGGGAAGAGTGGTGGCTGGGACAGCCAAGCCTCCCACTTGACAACCTGGCAGTGGCTTTGTGGGGGCCTGGGCTATACTCAGTGGACCTGGTCCCATCTCCAGCTACCTGAGGACAGTTTACTAAGTGGATGGGGCTCAGTTCTCCCCTCTGTGTAATAACCAGTGGTGAAGGGCCTTGTAACCCAGACATTTTCTGTCCTCGCACAGACTGGGAAGGAATGGACGGCACCAGGAGAATTTGGGAAGTTCCAAAACCAGCAATCAAGGCCAGTGAGGTGAGTGGGCAGGGGTGAGGCTGGATGCTGCAGGCTCCATGCATGCTGCATCATGTCTTACCCCATCCTGATTGGTTTCTCAAATAACAGGCTTCACTGGCCATCTTTGGCTTTCACTTACTGTGTTCGGGGCTCCTCTTCTTTGTCACCTTATTTGGTCACCTTAGCTGGGGGGGGTCAACACTGAATTTGTTCATTTTTGAAATGGTTTCTAAAAAAAGAATCTATTGGCTATGCAATGAGGCAGGGCTGGGACCCCTGATGCAGGCCCATCTCCAAAGCTCCTCTTTTCTAGGAACTCAACTCAAGTCAAGGCTTGACTGTGCCTGCTCACTTCCCTTGCCAACCAGATGCAAAATCCTCTCAGTTGTATGTTGTGGATAGCATTGCTCCAGGCAGCTAACTCAAGGCTATGGGGCAAGCCTTGAATGAGCTTCCTTCAGGTGCTGCTCACTTCAGCTTGCTCCTGTGTACATGGAGACTAGGGCCTTTTCCCAGTGCCACAGGATCCCATGCCCGCTGCTGTCTACCTGTTCTGTTTCCAGATGGTCCCAGTAACACCTACCACTGTATGAAAATGATATTGTCCCCAGGCCTGTAGGATTCCCAGCCCCAGCAACTTTACTCATCTCTTCTAGAAAGTGCTGAATGCCCCACTAAGAACCAAGTGGACAGAGACCAACACCAAAGCACTCTTGGAGCTTCATTAAGCAACCAGAGGCTACAGCTTTGGGAGCAAGAACAGAGAAGCAAAGCTGAGTTACGAGATACCAAATAGATTGGCCAAAATGGTGATCTTAGGCACCAGGCCATAATGTAGGGAAACCCAGGGTTCTAAGGTGGCCTACTGAAAGCCTAGGGCTAATAGCCCACAATCTGGTAATACTCTGATGTGCTTCAGGTCCTTTGTTGTAGCATCCAGGATCCCAGTAGATGAGGAGTCATATGGAAGCCAGTGCTCAAAGACAGAAGTGTTAGCTTTTATCCTGTTTGGTATTTTGTTGAGAGCCTCAACTCCTGGAGGTGAGGGATAGCACATTAGCTTTCTCTTTGGGAAAAATGGCAAGGAAGTGCCTAGACTTTGTAGATATGGCAGAAAGTAAGGAAAGAATCTGGTATTTTACTTATGATTTCTGTGGACCTGTGGTTTTTGAATATTTGAAAGAGGAAGAGACCTAATGCATGGGGAACAGACCTAATAATGGGAAATCTCCAAAATTATTATAAAACTGCTCAGATGCTTACCCAATGCAGCCAATGTATGATAAAATGGTTAACATCTGCCCCCTGGTGGCTGCCTGTCAGAACTCCCTGAAGACTATGGTTTTGTGTTTCTCTCACTTTAAAGTGGTAAGAATAAATGAAATTAATCTAAACTCCTCCAGAATCTCAAAAGTACTCTCCAGAGTTTTCCACCTAGCAACTGACCAGGACTCACAGAATCCTGATACACCAAACCCAGCAGACAAGATTAACATTCAGGTATCTAGAATAATTAGCTGGAGGTAGAGGATCACCTTGCTGCTTTGAGGAGAGGGTGTGAAAAATTCTAGCTGGGAACATTTTCTCAAAGAAAAGAGTGATCCGACAAAATTGTAAGTACATCCTGCCTGCAGCATCTGTATTTCCCATCCCGTGACAGGTTAAACCCAGTCCTGCTTAGTTTAAGAGCAAACAAAGCCACAGCCCAAGATAGTGTAGTTGTTCAGTAAGAGATGTGAGTTTTTCTCCTCTACAGATTAGCAGCTTCTGGCAGGTACTACTTTGAAGTGCTGCATAAACAGGATGACAAAGGAACAGATCATGTGGAGGTGGCGGTAAGTGTGCCTGGCTAACCATGTCCTGCACATTCACTGATGGGGCTTGAGAGGAAAGCTTGGTGACAACTGGACTCCACTCACATCCTCTGACCCCATTCTTCCTGGGATATCTCTGCTCCCATTCCAAGCCCTTACCCTGTCCTGTGTGGGACAGCCTTGCTGGCCTCCTGACTCCTGTTCTCATTCTGTGTGGGACAGCATCACTCTATCCCTAGCTTCTCTTTTCAGCCATTTTCCATCTTTTCCTTCTATTAGGCTGAGTACCAGGATTGTTGGTTCTCTCCTAATCCCTTTCTGTGTGAGAAAGATTCTACTAATTTGGGGAAGGGAATGTTAGAGGTCCCACATGGTTACAAACAGATGCACACCCAGTACTTTTCTGCTGAATAAATTACCGTAATTCCATAAGCACTTCATATTTATTTCTTTTTTCTGTTGCAGTGGCGACTGAATGACCCAGAAGCCAAGTTGACAGTCATAGACTCCCAATACCTCTCCCTTTTTGCTAGTAAGTATCCCCACCATAGCTTTGTCTTTGTTCCTCATTGTTCATTCAACAGCACTACAGGTGCTTCACAGCTGATCACAGTCCATTCAGACACTACAGATAATGTTATGTGTAAGCAGTGTTACGAGCACTGGCTGGAGGTTTAAAGTAGAAGTCACAGGGAGAACTCTGGCCAATTTTGTGGAACAGTATCAAACACAGAGGGTGCATCTACACATCGCTGTATGGCAACATTGCTATGGTGCTCTGTTTTTGTACTGCCTTCTGGAAGTACTAAAACATGGTTCAGTATGGGTGGTTACTGTGCTGTGCACACAGTGCATGGTTAGATTTTTCCACTATAGTGATGTAGCTGGCAATTGTGTAGACCTGTGTGATCTCTACATCACCATAGCGTGCCGTACAGCAATGTAGTGCATCACTACATCACTGTAGGGTTATGTATAGACACACCCGGAGAGGCTCAGGGAGTGGGATTTTAGTCTTGTTTAGAGAGATTTTGAGTCAGTCACCAGAGAGGAGAGATGGATCTGACCAAGGCAGGGAAGAAACCATTCCAGATGGTGAAAGTAACACATGACAAAGATCTGCTGCTTGCTATGCAAAGGCAAAAGGAGTCTACAATTCAGAAGCCAAGGGATGGTCAGGAATGAGGAGGTTGGGTTTGTGGGTAATTTCTAAGACTCCAGGGAAACTTCATGCTGGATACTGGACTGGGAAGCTGCTAAAAATGTCAGAGGACGCTGTTGCTGCAAACAGCCTCCCTCCCCACACCCAACCCATTCTGACTCTGCTGTAAGTGTCTTACTAGCTTGTTTCTCTGATTGTCACCCATCAGTCCATCCTCTTCCAGTCTTTCCTCTAGTTTCCCCCTCTCCTTCATATCAGACACAAACTTTGCTTTTACCTTTAAGACCATTCACGCTGCAGCTCTAGGAACCTCATTTCCTTTTTGCCAACATTCTCAGGCTTTACCATTCACCAACTTCAGCTTTGCTCTCAAATGCCTCTGGGTACTGTCCCAAACTACTCTTTTCATGTGTAGAAAATGTCCTTGTGTCCTTCAGACAGCTCCTATTTTGCCTTCTTTGAGACCCACATCCTGCTGCAATGTTTTCAGAACCTGGCCAAGTAACCATGCCTAGGCATGAGCGGTATCAGTCTCCTCTCTTCATCTTACTTCTCCTTTATTCTTACAAAGTACCCGTAGAATGTGAGCCCAGCACATCCCCGTCATTGGGAATGGCACCGGAAACTTGCATCTTCCCCTGGCATCTCCTGCCTACTGCCACTGTAGGCTTGGCAGCAGACTGTCTCTTTTAGGACTCATCCTTCCAGCCAAATCATGCTTGATCCCACTCCCATATTGTGAATCCTTATCCTCCCAAATGAAGTGAACAGTGTCACAAATAGTGTTTGATATCAAGATTGCATCCTGGGATTCCTCTTCCGTTCTTTTCTTTTCAGAGTAAGATGACCCAGGGTTTCTCCCCAGTGCCCCTTTACACCCACCTCCCCCTCCCCACACTTGAAGAAAATCCCTGTAGCAGGTTGCTGCCTCAGGGCCTATTCAGCCAGGCTTTTACCCCTTGGCTAAGCATCTCTCAGCTAGCCACAGTAGCATATAGTCTTTAAACCTGCTGCCCTTTGCTGTCTGGAGTTCCTCCCAGCCTACCCCAGTCATATACAGTCTTTTATCACATGAAGTGAACAAACCACAACTTTATTGCACTGGCCTCTGGGATGAGCCTGCTGTGGCCTCAGCCTTCCTCTCACAGGCTTGTCCTCTTCATACCCCAGAGGCCTCCTGCCTCTAGTGTTTCTACTCCACCTCCCGAGATGGTTCTTCCTGCTGGGTTTTTTTTCTAGAATAGAAAACTAGAATAGAGTTTCTAGTCTGTCCTCAGATTAATAAGGGGTACCCCAGGGAGCTGTGCACTGAAAGTATAGGCCTTGAGGTGACCTGGCCAAGGGAAGTTCACCTGCCTCCAACCCTGTAGTGTCTGTACCAAGTTTGGACAGCAGACATGCTCCGCAAGTGTTGCAACTTTTGACCCAGTCACAGGGTTCACCTGGGTCATTTTGGGGCCAGGCTTGGTCAAGCAGGGAGGGGGGCTCTGGCTGCACTCATAGCAACTCTGTGCATCTTTTGGGCATGCTTGTTTGGGATGCCATGGGACAGTGTGTACCTGCTGTTCATAAAACGGCCATGCTTTAGGTTTGCAATCAGGTTCAATGAACCCCACTTGTCAGTTTTATGTAAAAGCAGTGAGCGAATTAATGGCATTATGAGGGACAGTCAAGCCATAGACAGCCACAAAGGGATGTTTTAGAGATGTGTGGTGGGGGGCCACAGAAGTCTTGTTCCCAGAGAGACTTGTTTCCTGTAACCACCCCTCCTTTAAAAACTTGGTGTTTTGGGTTTTTTGGGGATTATCCCTGAAATCTGTCAAGCACACAGCGGAAAAGAGGCAGGTGCTGAGCAGAGGGCTGAATGGACAAACCCTGAAACCCAAGGGCAGCCAGTCACCCCTCCTGGCTGAAAGCATCCCCCACAACAAAATCATACCAGCACCCCCTCAAGGGAGACCCCCACCACCCACAGCAGCCACCACCAGCAAGACTGATGTACCACTGATCACTAAAGCACTGCTAAGCATACCTTGATTGAAAAAACAGAAACTTATAAAAATAAAACTTTAATTCAACTATAAATAAATTAAAAACCAACCAAACAGCAAACACAGAAACACTGCTGAATACCCAGTCCCCTATCACACAATTAGAAAGCAGTAGATAAAAGGAAAGATCCAAAATGCTCCCTTCAGAGTCCTCTCAAAAACCGTAGTCCCAGCAGAGCAAGGGCAACCCTCTTCACAAAATGACAGTCATGCTGCAGGGGAAGCTAAAGAAGATGGGGGGAGGGCTGCCCCATACTTCCAAACTCACTTTCCTCACCTCCCCTTACAGGCTACAAAATCTCCCATGAGAGATTTCCCTAAGCCTTCTTTGGGCATACCTGTGCACTTGGTACAGCTAAATAACCTTGTGCAGGGGTCTGGGATGCTGCATCAGCCATCCTCAAGTGAGGCACAGGTGGAGGGCAATTAGAAGAGAGATGGCAGTTAGCCTGACATGTTCCAATGTGCTATAACCTATACTTTCATGCTTTCCCCTATTACCATATGCCCAAGTCTGTCCCCGGTCCCAATGGCAAACTTACCGCTGGTTCCACTTCTGCTTCTGGCTTTTGTTCCTGATGTTAGGAGTGATGGGGAAGGGGGAGCCTGGGGGGTGGTAGAGGGAAGTTGTGGGGGTGAAAGCATGACCACAGTGGGTGGCGGAAGCAGCACTACAATGGATGGCAGTAGCATCACCACTGTGGGAATTTGTATGGGAAGGGTGAAGGGGGTACAGGAAAGCGAGACAAGAATAGGGTGGGGAGAGGGTGGTGGAGAACCGGGGGATGGCGGTAGTCGGGCCTCCTTGCCAGACCTGAGCTCCTTGGTCACCTGGCTGGGGTGGGTGGTTGGATGTCCTCTGGGTCAGTTCAACTGAAAACTGCTGCTATGAATGTTAAAGTAGCCCAGTGACCTTTAAGGATCCATTAAATTCCTATTAGGTGTTAAATGCTCAGAGCAGATCACACTCAACAGGGACAGAGCTCACTTACTCTGTTTTTGGAAAAGACTGAGAGCTGGACAGCTGTCTGGACAGCAAGGGACTTTGGGGACCCATTAATCTCCTATTAGGTGTTAAATGCTCAGAGCAGAAGCCTTCAATAGCATGCTTCACTGTGCAATATTTCTATAATAGCGCTGAGGGGGTCAGGGTACACAACACACTGCATTATCCCTAATAATGGAGAAGGGAGCACATACACAGCAGACATTGATCAGTCTCCAAAAGAGACTGGGACCAACCCAATCTTCAACCCCCCCAACACACCCTAGAACATCCAGCTGTCAGTTCAGTGAAATAGGAGATGACAAACAAAAAAGGTTTTTTTGAATTATTTATTTAGTAGTAAGAAAAAGACATCAGCAGAAGATTGATTCATGTTGGCTTCTGCAGCTACACCTGGTGTCCTAAAACATCCATTACACACAAACACCTGCAAATTGTAGTGACACCTGGTAGACAAGAGGGATCACTAAACAAAAATTGTAGCAACACCCAGTGGACAAAGGGACTCACTACACGTAATTTAGTGATTTACCACGTACACGTGACAGATTTATGGTGTTTGGGAACCTAAACTGCATTGGGTTGTGGTTTAGATTGTAACAATGAGAAGTAATTTAAAACCCCCAAAACTCCCATACATGTGATGTGTGACACCATTAAGCCACACGCGGGAATTTTTGTTGTGTGTACATTGTCTCAGTGCCATGTGTACAAGCACGCCCTCAGTGCATATTGGAACACTGACCTGCAAGGGGGCTTCCAGGGGTAACACAAGAGCAAGTTCCCCTCCCAATTCTGGAGCACTTTTCTTCCTATTCTCCCACTGAAATGTCCCAGCCCCTCTGCAGATGTGTCCAGTAACTGGATAAATTGACTCACTGCTAGATGAGGTGTTTAGCTACCAAGGCTAATTGAGTACTGAGTTTCTATTAACTCCTTCTGTGTTAGAGGAGGTGGTGTAAGAGAGTATTGCATATCCCCCCTCCCCCCCACACTTTTTTCTTTTTGCACTACCCATTTCAAAACAATAAAACATGTCTTAATTGTCACCACATTCAACCATCACTTACTTGTACAAAGGGGACATTCTTCCCTTGCCCTCCCTGCCTCCCCCACCCCGCTTCCTCTGGGCTTATACTTTTTAGACTTTGAGCAGGGTCTGGTACTGTCTCTTTCTTAGTTTCTACTGTGAATTTCTCACTCCTGATCAAAGCTATATGGACACTACTGTATCATAAATATGGATTAATAAGGCTGGAAACAAGAGGTCAAGTTTTTATGGTCTGGAATTCAGAGAGGGTGTGCTTCTGGAGCTGTTACCAAATGAAATGACACTCAGAATAAAGTGATGGATTAGTCCTTCCTCCTTCTTTCGTTCTCTTGCTGGTTTCTAGATGAGACTCTCTTAAAGATGGATGAAGTTGAACATATACCACAGACATTGGCCAGCCGTGCAAATCAGTCTACTGCCAGTCTGAGCAAGAAGACACACCCAGCTGACATGCTGAAGCCTGACCCTCGGGACACTATTTATAAAGGTAAGAGGCTGCCAAACAAATGGAGACTGTTGCAGCCAGTCACATCATGTGAATGAGGACCACATGGTCACTAACAACCGGATTTATCTTATGTGGAGAAGGAAATAGCTATCATTTCAGGATACCTAAGAGAGCTACAATATGAAGGATAAACCATACTCATGTCATCTCTTTCAAAGTCCAGTTCTAACATTGCTTTCAGGTTTAAATTGTTCATATAAATCCAAAAGATTAGTGTAGAGGGAGGAACCCAGTAAGCACAGGGGTTAATGGATAGAAGTGTCCACAGCAATGGCTGTCCTGTGTTATCAGTGTAGGGTGGATTTGCTTTGATTTGTGGTCCAAGTAATTCTTGTGTGTGTGTCCCTCTTGGCCTCTTGTAGTGCCTCTGATTAGTAAGTCACGCCTGCGGAAGACGTTGCCGGACTGCCCTTACAAACCCAGCTACCTGGTGAATGGATTCCCATTATCACGCTATCAAGGACTCCAGTTCGTAAGTCTCATTCCTCTAATGGAGATGTTTGTCCAAGTGCTCCATGCCACACTAGAGAATATATGTGCTTTAGAACATGAGGGCAATGCCTGACTGGAACATGGGGTGTCTCCAAAGTCTGGAAACAGGCCAATAGCTGATGCCTTCTGCGGGATGGATGTCCCTTCTGCATGACATAGCACCTGTTCTCTCCCTTCCTAATTCAGAACTGATACACACCATAAAGAAATTGGGTAGTTTAAAACACATATCTCCCAACCCAGTCAGTTCTAAAGACATGTAATAAGCAGAGCTACAAGAACCCCACACAAGAAGCCCTGCTCCAAATAGACCTCGTTTAGGTAAACTTCCAAATGTAGCAAGTCACCCTTGTCTTTACCTCTAGTGCCAAACATTCTGTTGCTTTAATGGAGTAGTCCCAAATCCCAGGCCTGACTGCTTTCTGACAGCTCAGATCTGGATTTGAATAATGTCACACAAATCACCCTTCACAGGCATCCTTCTGCAGCCAGGTGTGGCGAAACAGGCAAGTACTGCTTCGGTTTCTCTTACAGTCCCAAGGGCTAGCTTTCTCCACCATGGGTCAGACCAGTGGTCACCTCTTCCCTGCCTGGGAAAGGACTTTAATTCTTAGATTCAAATCAAGCCCTGCTTCCAGAAGTAGTTTAATCATATAAAATAAAACATTCTTTCATAAGAAGACATCTCACAGTTCTCCCATATAGAGTGGGACAGGTTGGAGCTCTCCACCCTTTGCCCATGTTCCTGATCCTCCACCCTTCACACCACTCTTCTCCCAACACCTCCACATCAGGGCTTCCTCAAGACTCCCCCACAGTGTTACACTCCCCACACTCCTTCACCTCAAATTCTGCTGCCTGCTGGGCTCCTTCTGGGAACCTTCATCCAAAATCAACCTTCTTGTTCTTTGGTTCAGTCTGTCCCAACTGAGCTGGGTCTTCCTCACTGTTACCCAGGAGCTTCCACACAGGCCTTGTACTCAGCAAGGCTCTGTAGCTCCATCAGGTCTGATCAGTGGATCACACATACTGTACAGCATTCTCCTAACCCATGTTCTGTCTCTCTCTCTGCACCTGCTGTCTTCCCAGCATCATGCCATTCTCTCCAGACAGCTGTCCTCACCTCTTATCTGCTCCTTCCTGCTTTCATTTCTGTACTGCAGCTTTGGTTTTTAGCATAGTCTGGCACCATGTATGAGGTCCCACCTTGGGGCAACTAACTGGTGAACTTCCCCTTAAAGGGCTCAGTTATCCTGCGTGTGACATCTCCAGGTATCATTTTCATTTGTGCATGGTTTTCTCCCCTCTTTCCAGGTTCACTTGTCCTTTGTTTACCCAAATGATTACAGCCGCCTGAGCCATATGGAGACAGACAACAAATGCTTCTATCAGGAGAATCCATATTACTTGGAAAGGTAACACAGTCCTCCCAGCTGGATATCTAGCATGAGTTGGGGCTGGTGTTGGGACTGGGATGGAACTTTAGATGCCTACTTGTAGGGCTCTAGCCACATCTACACAGGAAACTCACCCTGGTCAGCTGAGTGCACAATGCATGTTCAAGTCCACAGTGCAGGTTGGGCAAGCTGCCTCCCAAACTAGAAGCGTCCACAGCCACATGTCACTTTGGGTGGGCTGATTAGCACTATTGAGTGACAGGGCCAATTAGCCACCCCCAAAGCAATTAGACCACTAATCAGTACTGATACACTACTTCCACTCGAGCATGCATGAGGGGGCCCTGGCCATGCACAGTAAGTTTACTGTGTGGACATGACTTTTGGTTTCTTCAAGCACCATCCTGGTAAGCCCCCAGAATCTCCACTGATGTTAATGGAATGAAGGGTGTTCATCTGAGGTGCTTAGTTCTTCCTGTTCCTGATGTACCTTTTAAATGAAAACACTCTGAACTCTGAAAGAACATCTGCCCCTGAGCTGCTAAGTCTATCAGGCTTGAAAGCTGGTGAGTTAAACAGAATGTCTTGCCCTGATGAACTGGGAAATGTATTTTCCAGCAGAGCTTCTTCACCAGCAAGTGGAGCTCCCTGCTGGGGAGACAGTGTGGCCTCACACCTTTCCCAGAATCACACCTCTGATATGTGGGGGAGCCCTCATGGAGCCCTCCACCCAAGAGCCCTAGCTTTCAGAGCCAGTTCACCACATGAAATTGCCACCAGCACACTCCTATGTGGATAATGGATAGCCTTATCCACCAACCACACATGGCTAGAATCCCCCTTTATTCAGGAGGTAGTCCTAGGAGCACACTTTTGTTGGATAGGGAGTGTCAGTCTTCCAACAAGACCACTAATTGTGACCTCTATACATCAAGGCTTCTTTTCTCCTGCTGGGTTTTACTTTGGGAGCAGAGAGGTGACCATTGAACAGTAGGCTGTATAACTAAGTCAGGGAGGGGGGCTTGGATGTATCATAGCAGATCAAGAAGGTGATTGCTGTGGGCTATGAGGTATCATTGAGTGGTGTTGCTGTGATTATTCATTTGCAAAAGCATTTATAGATGGGAGTCCCGATGTGCTAGGTACTGTTAACACATAATGAAGAGACAGGCCTTGTCTCAGAAAGCCCAAAGCCTAAGAATATGTTGGGATGTCAAGTGGATACAACAAACAGTAGGGAAA